GCCCGCCCGGTCCTACCTGAGGGGCTCGAGGCAGAGGCGGCGGCGCGGGGACGCCGGTCGTTAGCCCCCCGGCGACCGGCAGCGCCAGGAGCAGGAACAGCCGGAGGGCGAGAGGCGCCAGCAGAGCGCCCTCCATCTTGGACGACGCAGGCCGTAGGCGGCAGACCGCGCGGAGATGAGGGCGGAGCCGGCCAGAGGGCGGGACAGATCTTTCCGAGGGCGGGGGGGGCCGCGAGGGGCGGGGCTGAAGTCTGGCTCGCAGGGGAAAAACAGCTGCGGCGTATCGCCACGCTACTTCCAGGGGCGGAGTCAATCCGAGAAAGTACGACCCGGTCGTTAGACTGGACTGGAGAAGAGTTCCAAGCGGAACGAGGCAAACGTCTTCGTTGTCATTTTAAAAACTAGCTAGCCGGGCTCGGTGGCTCAGCCTGTAATCCCGCGCCTTCGGGAGGCTGAGCCCGCGCCTTCGGGATTGCTTGAGCCCGCAGGTTCGAGACCCGCCTGGGCAGCGAGACCTCATCTCTACAATAAATCAAAAAATCAGCCGGGCGTTAGCGCGCGCCTGTAGTTCTGTCTACTCGGAAGGCTGAGGCGGAAGGATCGCCGGAGCCCAGCAGGCGAGGCTGCGGTGGCCGGGAGCGGCCACTGCACTCCAGTCTGGGCGACAGAGTGAGACTCCAACTCAAAAAAAAAAAACAAAACAAAAAAAACTAGCTTATATTATATATACACATATGTATCTGTGTGTATACATGTACATGTATCTATAAGATGAAAACAATGGTAATATTTCAGAACGCTGTTATACATTAAAAATGAAACGTCACGTTAAAGGGGATTTTTGTATTAAATCTGTAGTTTCCACCCTTAGACTGCACGTGGGAATCTCCTGGGCAGTTTTACAAAGTACTCAGATCTCCCCGGGCATCCCAGTTTCTGCTTTAGTTAGTTTGGGCTGTGGCTCGGGCACTGGTAGTTTTTGAAGTTTCGCATTGTGCCACCAAGGTTGAGGATCCGCCACGTATTAAATGTCCAGCATTCGGGACGAGTGGAGGTTGCCAAGGAAGCCAGCGCACCTGAGCTCGCAGAACCTTTTTAGTCTGCATCCTAATTTGTAAAACGAAGGTGTTAGACTTTTCTTACAACTTTTGTTTTTTAAAAAAATGTTATGAAACCCTATTAGCAGAGAGCACCAAGAAATTAAAGCATTTATTTGAATAAGATGGCATATTGATTTAGAAGAGATTAGAGACGTGGCCATTCAGGCATAATAAGAAGTATATTTAAACTTTCTTTGAAATAAAACTGTGGACATGAAAAAGGAAACCAATCTCTATGTCTCTCTTGGAGCCCCCTTTTCTCCTTTGAACACCCCCTCTCCCGTGTGTCTGCTTTTTTTTCCTTAGGATAAATTACAAAATGTTTGGCCAAAGGTTCACTCATTCAACTAACTCTTGGCCCACTCTAAAATGCCCCACATCATCACTAACTTCCGAGTGGTTTCACAATGCAGTCTCACCCACTTCTGGGCTCCGGTTGCAAACATTGGCCTTTTCACTTTTTTCATACAGCTAGAGTTAAAAATGAATCTGGAGATGGTCACATTGACATGTACCTGTAGTTCCAGCTATTGGGGAGACTGAGGCAGGAGAATTGCTTGAGTCCAGGAATTCAAGGTAGTAGTGTTCTAAGATAGCGCACACGTACACAATCTGGAAATCAGAAAAATGACAGGTGGAACAGTACAATTTGAGTCAGTAACATATATATGAAGTTCCAAAGTAGAGAGATATAAAAAATAACACATGAAGCAGTCTGTTTTCTTTTTTTTTGAGTTGGAGTCTCACTCTGTCATTCAGGCTGGAGTGCAGTGGCACGCTCACAGCCACCACAACCTCCACCTCCTGGGCTCAACCTTCCAAAAAGCTGAAACTACCACGCCCGACTAATTTTTTGATTTATTGTAGAGATGAGGTCTCACCAAGTTGCCCAGGCAATCCCCTCACCTCAGCCTCCCAAAGTACTGGGATTATAGACATGAGCCACCACACCTGGCCGGTAGTCTGTTTTCTAATAGAACCTTTCCCATAAACTGTACATTATTCTTTTGCTTGTCTGTCTCCTCAGATAGATCTGAGCTCCAGGGAAGGGGAGGAAGAGTCAAAACTTAATGCACACAGCTTGCTAGAGTTGGTACTCTGCAGGGATTTGTTGGGCAAATAATGTCTAAGTAGTTGACAGTATATTATTTTTGAGTCAGGGTCTCAGTCACCCAAGCTGGAGGGCAGTGGCGTGATCAAAGGCCACTGCAGCCTCAACCTTCTTGGCTCAGGTGGTCCTCCTGCGTCAGCCTTCTGAGTAGCTGGGTCTGTAGGTATGTGATACCACATCTGGCTAATTTTTTATTTTTATAGAGATGAAGTCTTGCTATGTTGCCTACACTGGTCTCAAACTCCTGGGCTCAAGCAATCATCTCGCCTCGGCCTTCCAAAGTGCTAGGAATACAGGCATGAACCACCATGCCTGGCCAAAAGTATTACTTGATAATAAACAATTTTACTGGAGTAAAATTAGTTCCCTTTAGGCCATTGTCTTGCTGTACACAAGCACGAGCACTGTGGAATTTCATGTTAAAAAAAGTCCCATCATTTAGTGAGACCCTGTCCCTATTTTTAAAAAATAGAAAAATTAGTCAGGTGTGGTGGCACTCACCTGTAGTCCCAGCTACTTGGGAGGCTGAGGTGGGAAGATGGCTTGAGCCCAGGAGTTTGAGGCTGCAGTGAGCTGAGATCATGCCACTGCAATGCAGCCTGGGCAACAGAGGGAAAGCCTGTCTCAAAAAAAAAAAAGTCCCGTCATTTGAAAAAACACTGTACCACAACACTGATGAGTTATAACAAAACTTGTTGCAGGATTCTACTCACTTATCATCCATTGGAAGACACAGCATGTATACTTAGCCTTCACATTAATCAGTAAATAAAAAACAGAATTAATTACCGGAAGTGGTGGCTCACACCTAACCCCAGCACTTTGGGAGACTGAGGTGAGAGGATTGCCTGAGTCCAGGGGTTTGAGACCAGTCAGGGCAGCTTGGCGAGACCTCGTCTCTACAATAAATAAAAAATTAGCCAGGTGTAGTGGCATGCACCTGTAGTCCTAGCTACTTGGAAGGCCGAGGCGGAAGGATCACCTGAGCCCAGCAGGTCAAGGCTGCAGTGGCAATGAGTGTGTCACTGCACTCCAGCCTGGATGACACAGTGAGACTCCAACACAAATTTTAAAAAAATTAACTTGGCAATTGCTTCCATGACAAAGAATCTATCCATATTAACACAGTACTTTGATGTTCTTTTGAGTCAGGTCATGTCCACTTGATTTCTTTGATTGGAAAACCCATTCAAAGTGTTCAACTTGCCTAAAATAGCAATCCAGTGTAGCTCTGTGCACATTAGATGCTTTATGCTCTTTGATGCTACTTTCATATAGCGGAAGATATTCTAAAAATTTTCTAATACTTTAGAAAAGAAAGCGTGTAATATATATTTTTAAAATACACCTTTAGCCAGGCATGGTGGCTCACGCCTGTAACCCCAGCACTTTGGGAGGCTGAGACAAGAGGATCACTTGAACTCTGGAGTTTGAAACCAGCCTGGGCAATATAGTGAGACTTTGTCCTTACAAATAAACAAACAAACAAAAAAAATAGACAGGCACAGTGGTTCACGCTTTTAATCCCAGAACTTTGGGAGGCAGAGATGAGAAGATTGCCTGAGCCCAGGGATTGGACGTCACCACACCCAGCTAAGTTCTATTTCTTGTACAGACGAGGTCTTGATATGTTGCCTAGGTTAGCCTCAAACTCCTGGGCTCAAGCAATCCTCCTGCTTTAGCCTCCCAAAGTGCTGGGATTACAGGTGTGAGTCACCATGCCTGGCCCATGCATATTATTGAAGCCTCACCACTGTCTGATGACATGGTTACAATTTATGATCTCAATTTTTGGGCAACTTGGGCAACTTGGTGAGATCTCTCTCTACAATGAATTAAAAAGTTACCCAGGCATGTTTGTACATATCTGTAGTACTAGCTACTTGGAAGGCTGAAGTGGAAGAATCACCTGAGCCCAGCAGGTCAAGGCTCTGGTAGCTGTGATTGTGCCACTGCACCCCAGCCTGGTGGCAGAATGAGACTCTGACTCAAAAAACAAATATAAACAAATAAATAAATAAATAAATAAAAATATGCCTTTATTCTCTCCTCAAATAATAGCCTTTGGGCCAGGCACAGTGGCTCATGCCTGTAATTCCAGTATTTTCGGAGGTCGAGGCAAGAGGATTGCCTGAACCTAGGGATTTGAGATCAGCCTGGGCAACTTGGCAAGCCCTTGTCTATACAAAAAATATAAAAATTAGCTGGGCTGGAGGCATGTGCCTGTAACCTAAGCTATTAAAAACAAGCAAACAAAAAAACCCTTTGACTCCAAACCTTGATCTATCCCCTTTTTCAGCAACTGACTTTATTTTTGTTTTCATCATTCCAACAATCCAAATTTGAATTCATCTTTTTCTGCAATTCAAAGCAGGTTTGACACCAAAGAGAAATCTGGGATGTGAGCTGTGTGTGTTTCCAATATCTGGAAGAGAGTGAGTCACTGCACCTCTATTACAACAAAGTCTACTCCTGGGTTTTCCGGAGTTAGTCATCCGCATGCTTTTGAGCCTCTTGAAGATCCCCAGGAGATGACAAGAGGGAGACAAGAAACAAAGATATCCTTTTTACATCTTCAGAATCATTCACAAAATTTATCTTATTTTTTTCTGACATTTTGAAACCGCTCTTACTGTAACCTTCTTCTCTGTACTTAGAATTGAATTTAATTAGCCCCGTGATCATGGGAGATGCTTTTTATATGAAGAGCAACTAATTCATAGAAATGTTATCATTGCAGCAGTCAGTATTTATTGTGTTAAATATGTTAAGTGGTGTGTGTGTGTGTGTGTGTGTGTGTGTGTGTGTGTGTGTGTATTTTGACTTGGAGTCTTACTCTGTCACCCAAACTGGAGTGTGATGGCATGATCATGACTCACTGCAGCCTCAACTTCCTGGGCTCAGGTAAGCCTTCTGCCTCAGCCTGTCAAGTAGCTGGGACTACAGGCACACATCAGCACACTCAGCTAAATTTTCTATTTCTTGTAGAGATGAGATCTTGATATGCTGCCTAGGCTGGTCTCAAAT